CATCTATCTCATCCTCTCACTAGTGTATGTATAGAACGGGGGAACACCAACCAACCGGGATCTCTCCCCAGCCCACGGGGTAGGTTGGCCCCACAGCAGTGGTGCGAGAGCAAGGCTGTACCAGTCTCTCATCACGGTGACGAGGGGTGGGCAGGCATTGCCGATGGGGGAAATCGGCGGTGCTAGCGCCGAGCAATGGCCAGTCACTGCACCTCCCCCTACCCCCCCCCAAACCCCACATGGCGGTGTCTAATGACCAATATTGTAGCTGCATAGCAACCAACAACATCAACCAAGGTCCTGCCAATGCTGGCTTGGGGGGCCAACGGGTTATCTCTAGCTGGCTCAGCTTCTTTTCAATTCATTGTTTTGGTGAGGTTCGCTGGGAGCGGGCTGGCGACTGGAACAGCGCTAAGATTAGCGCTCAACATCTTCATCTTCATCTTCATCTTCATCTTCCTCGTGCTGGAGGTAGCCATAGCTGGGGCGCCCTCGCACCTCGAGGAGCAGCGCCTGACTGTGGTTTGGTTTGTCGAGTGCGCTGAGCTCCCTCCCCGCTACGGTTGCTGTTTAGGAGTTGAAGACGCCGCTGGTTTATGAAATGGCTATTTGATGGTCGCTGCCCTGTCGAGGCAGCCATCTTCATCTGCATCGAAGTTCATCTTCTTCTTCATCTTGGTTACTGACGTGGCTGATTGAGTTGGGCGCCATAGCTACTCTAACATAGGTATGGCGCCCATCCTGACATAGGCAGGCACTAATCTGACATAGGTATGGGCCTCTGACCTATGTCAGATTAGCGCCTGCAACTCGAGAGCAGATGGGAACTGGGCGCTGATTGAGTTGGGCGCCATAGCTACTCTAACATAGGTATGGCGCCCATCCTGACATAGGCAGGCACTAATCTGACATAGGTATGGGCCTCTGACCTATGTCAGATTAGCGCCTGCAACTCGAGAGCAGATGGGAACTGGGCGCTGATTGAGTTGGGCGCCATACCTGTGTTCACGAGTTGTTGGAGGGAGGGAGGGAGAGAGGGAAACGTTACAGTGAACGTGCCTTGAAGTTTATCGTTGAGGCGCTAATTGACGAAGGTGGAAGGAAATTCGTTGTTGACATTCTCGGGCGTGTACTCGATTGAGATGGAGGCGAGCAGAGGGGAATTAATTAATAATGAATTAATAATTGATTGAAGACGATTTTGATTTTTTTTTTCTTTCAATTCCATATCTGGTTTTGGCTTCCGCTGTGCAATTATATCTATCATTGGTTATGGTGTGAATCTGATCTCTTTCCAGTCTACCTGTCACTGCAGATGTGTCTCAATCACTGTATCTAGACGCAAAGTTGCCCCAAACACTACTGTTATCACCCGAATACAACGTACTGTCATTGATTTTGGCATAAACAGAGAGTTAACACTACAGTCTTCACCCGAATACAACGTACGTCGTACGGTCATTATCACTGTATCTAGACGCAAAGTTGGCCAAAATACAGCTGTAATGACGGTACGTTGTATTCAGCTGAAGACTGTAGTTAGCTCTTTGGTTGACACAGGGGGGGGAACATTTGAATGCCGTTTTGGATTCAAAATCAATCGATCACATAACAAAGAGAACACAACTGCTAGGGCATGAACAAAGCGTTAACACTCGTTAGTTGTTCGGAAAACACTACCGTCTTCACCCGAATAGAACGCCCGGTCATTATAGCTGTGTATTTGGCACACCTTTCGGTCCAGATGCAGCGATAATGACCGGGCGTTCTATTCGGCTGAAGACGGTAGTTAGCTCTTGGGTTAACACTAGTTAGCTCTTGGGTTAACACAATTTATGCGCAGTTGAAGTGGATAGTATGAACACACAGTTAACACGAGTTAAGGAGGCAATCAATTGCTATGTCGACAATATCTCCTGCACTTGGGTTAATAATGCATGGGCATTCATAAGAGGAGAGAGGGATTTTCAGCAGCAAAGAACTTACATCAACATAATAATAATAATAATAATAATAATAATAATAATAATAATAAGAAGAAGAAGAAGAAAGAAGAACAAGAAGAAGAAAGAAGAAGAAAGAAGAAGAAAGAAGAGAAAAGAAAGAAGTTCAGCACACACTTCTTCGTCCCACAAAAAAGCTTAAGTTATTGCGAGAGGGGGGGAGCTCCGACAGACCGTTGTTCTCACGCAAGCGATTGTGTATGCGCTTGTTGAGGTCGTCAACGCTTGACTGGGACACCAGCAGAAACTGCGCTTCGTTCGCAAACCCAATGCCCTTGCTGCTCTTGTCGCCGCCCACACCCACGGCCGTTGCTCCACTAGGTCCTTTGCTTGATCTTGATCCAGCATCATCTCTCAACGATACAAAACCGTTGGATCTTGACGCGGTGGCGTCATCGGAACGGGACACCCCTGTCCTCCTCTGAGATGACACGACTCGGCTCCATTGCCGTTGTCGGACGAGTGTGCAAGCAACACCTGTCACCTCTGTAAACCAGGCAGCCACTTCCGTTCCATATGCAGACCCTGAGGCTCTGCTCACATGCGAGGCGTCCGAGACGGACAATCGACCAAGAGGACGGAAGATGGGGTTCATTCACGGTAGTAGAAAATGAGCTCAGGTGCTTGTGGTGGGGGAATGATTACCCCATCGTAACTCATGAGTCAACCGTTAAACCGTTAAAACTCAAAAGTTATACCTTAAAAAAAATGATAACTAGCTCAAACTTCGAAAAGCCCGATACAAGTAATGCAAATTCATTTCGTGATGTTCAGGGCTGAACAACGTCGTTGATTTTCTACAAGAAAGGGTAAAAAAAAAAAAAAAAAACGAAAAAGAAAAATGTAAATTAGGGCAGGACTAGCGGGAAAACTCCGGAAACCATACACCCGTCATCTTTCTTTAACAGATAATAACAAATTTGTCCTAATTAAGAAAGTGGCAGAGCAGATGTGAAAACAGGACCAAAGTCACCAAACATATTTCTCTACATATTAAAAAAAAAAAAAAAAACAAGAAAAAAGGCAAACCTTAATAAAGTGGTCTTGATAAAGGAGACACGAGGGTTTTTTTTTTTTGGGGGGGGGGGGGAAGGGGAGGGGCAGCTATGGGCAGAAATCGCATCTGTTTGCACCCCCCTGACTTTCACAGAATAAAGACAGTAAACCAGAAAAAAAGGCTAAAAAACTTAAAAAAAGCCAAGTACCTGCTTGCCCTGAATAGACCGCACAGTCATTATCGTTGTATCTGGACTAGGAGTTGCCCCAAATACAGCTATAATGACCCTACGTGGTATTTGAGGGAAGAAGGTAGCTAGAGACACTGAGGCTCTTGTCACAACAAAAAAACGACATCACTACATTTATTTAATTTACTTAATTTAATAAATTACTAATTTCGGAAAGGCTAATAAAGGGCCAGACCGACCACAATATGATCATTTCTAGGAATCTCTTACTTACAGTGAATCCAGTGATCAAAGACATATAAATCCCCTAAGCCCTAAAGCCTAAACCACAACCCTTAAACCCTAAACCATGACCCTTAAACCATAGAGATCCATAACCCTTAAACTACCACTTCCTCGGAGACTCGTTTTGTCGGGGCGGAGCACAACTGAGCGCCAACCTTCTGCCAAAGCGCCAGAGCACCCTTTTTCCTTTTGTGTTGGGAGGCGCCGGCCAGGCATTTGGGTCCGGTGGCGCGCGGCCTCCGCTGCCCTCCGAAGAATGCGGTATAGGTTATATTTATGACTTCACCTTCCAGTCAGAAAGGAAGTGAATCATGACCCTAAATCGTTAACCCTAACCCGTAAACCCTAGAACATAACCCTTAAACCCAAGACCATAACCCCTGAACCCTGAACCATAACTCTTAAACTTTGAACTGTAACCCTCAACCATAACCCTTAAACCCTAAACCATAACCCCTGACCCTAAACCAAAACTCTTAAGCCCTAAACCATAACTCCTACAGCCTAAAACCATAGCCCCTGAACCCTCAACCATAGCCCCCAAACCCTAAACCATAACCCCAAAAGCCCCTAAGTCGTAGGCCCTATTTAACGGCAGACCCATTTAACCCTGCTCCACCAAAAAGAAGGACGATTACATGGATTTGAATCTGAATCGTAGTATAGTACAAATGCAGCACTTTTGCTCTGCATGATGGGCAGGGGGGGGGAGGGGGGGGGAGGGGGGTGGCGAGGCGGGGGGAGCGTCAAAGAGCTCCCAATTGCACCACCAGACCTGTCAGAATGTACCTGGACCTGGTTCTGTCCATAATACTCCATATACAGACCATGCACCTGTGAGACAGTTGATGGTATTTTTCTTTTCTTTTTTTAACCTCCCCCTTAACCCCTTTTTTTTTTTTTCATAAAACCAACCATTTCATTCCAAAAATGTCCAAAAATTCAATGAGGCCGGGGACCCCACAATCAACCCCGGAAAAAAAGCGCCACTGAGAGCATTACTCAGCTTTGCTTACACCCATCAGGGCTGCAGGGATCCAATCATGATGCAATCCACGTTTCACAATCCTACTCTGTTCCGCCGGCCGCCTATTCCTAAGTCGCCCATCAAGAACCCCCACCAGCTAACCTATCCTAAGTCGCCTATTCAGAACCCCCACCGCCTATTCCTAAGTCGCCTATCAAGGATTATCAAGGACCCCACTGGCCTATCCATTACAGCCTACTACACTCGTTTACCGCGGCGACCAAGACCTACACCGGCCTTGAGGAGCACCTCCCTTTATGTGTGACACTGTCTTAACAGGCCATTGTGCCAACTAATCAACCGAGTGCCCCTGGTATGACTGTCGAGCCTCACTAACCAACCACCCACCGAATCTATCCTAGCCTACTCTAATCTCCACTACCGTCTTCCCCCGAACATAATGCAACCTGATAATGATTGTATACAAGCTATATTTCAGGTCAGGTGCAGCCAAAATGAGGGTGCATCGTGTTCGGGGGAAGACAGTAGTCGAGATGGCATATTTCCACCCACACAGTCTGGCAGGGACAGTTTCGCTGACCAGAGGAGTAAGATATGTCTTGGTAGTACTTGGTACTTGAAAGTTGAATCGCCGGCACACTCTGATCCCAATTATGCACCTAGCTGTCATTACGTCCAGGTTCTTAATACTTTTTCCAAAAAAAATTCATGCTGATGATGATCGCAATCAGGGAGTTATCATGTGGATTCCTGGTGATCATATCATTCAACATACAATCATGAGATTTGGGATAATTTGCAAAATAGTAAATTATTTTAAATACCCTCATAAGTTGAGGTATATGCCAAAATGGCCCTTAAAGATGTGGGTAGAACGGACCGCCCTTTTGGGCCGAAATGTTGGTGTTGTGCCCCTGTCAGCCAGGTTTGCAAGTTTGCAATCTGGACCTCCCCGTTTGAGCCTTGGCCTTTTTTGCAATAGTGCCTAGGCAAAGTTGGCAAGTACTAGGGGGGCGTTCTGCAAAGTTGGGCTGTACCCGGTAAGTGTATATTGCAAAGATGGGGGGCCCCAACCGATGCCAGGGGTATTTCACAAAAATATTGTTTTCTTTGTCAGAGGGGCATTCTGCTCTACCTAGTACCCACATCTTTTAGGGGCATTTTGGCATACATCTCAACTCACGGGGGTATTTTGGAACTTATCCTTAGCGGACCCTCAGTGAGTTATTTATTTATTTTAAATTGTTTATTTATTCATTTAGAATCAGTCATAACGCACTCTAAATTTATTAACTAACTTATCAGATTTGATTATTTCACCGAGTACCTTATCAGATTTTATTTATAAACATTTTTTTTTTTTTT